GCTACTAGGGGCTCCTGGCCTTGCTACCAGGAGCAAGGACGCTACTAGGGGCTCCCGGCATCGCTATCAGGAGCAAGGAAAAACAAGGGCCTCCTGGCATCGCTACTAGGAGCAAGAACGCTACTAGGGGCTCCTGGCCTTGCTACCAGGAGCAAGGACGCTACTAGGGGCTCCTGGCCTTGCTACTAGGAGCAAGGACGCTACTAGGGGCTCCTGGCCTTGCTACTAGGAGCAAGAACACTACTAGGGGCTCCTGGCATCGCTACTAGAAGCAAGGCTCCTGGCCTTGCTACCAGGAGCAAGAACGCTACTAGGGGCTCCTGGCATCGCTACTAGAAGCAAGGCTCCTGGCCTTGCTACCAGGAGCAAAGACGCTACTAGGGGCTCCTGGCCTTGCTACTAGGAGCAAGGCTCCTGGCCTTGCTACTAGGAGGAAGAACGCTACTAGGGGCTCCTGGCATCGCTACTAGGAGCAAGGACGCTACTAGGGGCTCCTGGGTCCATAGGTCCTTTGCTAAGGGTTTAATCTGAGGTGGTTTGTTTAGAAATCCCTTCTAAACCAAAAGGACAAAGATGGACTAAGGGTCTAAGAGCAATTATACACCCTGTTTCGGACAGTCAAGCCTCAAATGTGCTTAACTGCAGTTTGGAGCGTGCCGGATTCGACCAACGGCTCATGCTACGTCCCTTGAACGGTCAAACTTGCTGCACGCCATGCTTGGAGATTCTGGGTGACTTGGGGTGGTTTCTTAAGTCTTGACGCAATGAATCAGTTCCAAACACGGTTGCTAAAGCATATGCAGCATGCACGAGTTGCTTATCCGAAGAAAACCAAAAATCCTGAACAACATATTCAGTGCTGCTTAGAATTGGGAGACCGGAAACAGCACCAATGCTATGAGTTGTGTGTCAGGGCTACCTTCCTCTTCCACCCCGCCACGAACCAACCAACCCAACCCCTCGGCGGTTGCGGGTCGGTCGGTCGACCGGCCTGGGCTTCCGTAAGAAGCATCGGGCAACCTGGAAAGGGGCAGTCGATCGGACGGCATCGCTACAGATAGGTCTTCTCCAGAAGTGAATTCATCAAACACATGTGAGAAACATCCATACTGGTCCATACTACTAGTAACAAGAAGCTACCCACGGTGGAGGCCATCGCTTCTAGGTGGGAGGGCCATCGCTTCTAGGTTGGAGGCCATCGCTACTAGAAAATCACCCTGGCCGCCAATCTCACCAGGCAACGGCCAAGCGTTGCTTCTGCCCTCCCGAGAGCATGATGCCTGAGTCGGAGGGGGGGATGGTGGCTGCGCTGTTTTCTTGGGTGCTCGGAGGGCTAAAGCCATACTTCGAAGGTTTGGTGCAAAGGCACATGAACCGATGACCAAAGTCTCGATTACTGGTTAGTCAAAAGTTCTGTCAACATCTTGGACTTGCAATTTCATTTCACAAGACACACACTTAAACCTTGCTGCATCTTTTGGGATAAAGGTTGCTGGTCAAAATCCCTAAAAACATGACTTTCCATTTGCAAACACTGGTGCTCGGGCGCCCGAATGCCGTGTCTCTCGTTCCGTTTCTCTTTGCCTTTCTCCCCGCCTTTCTCTCCCACGCGTGTCTCGTAGCCTTCTTCCATTTCCAGAATGAACTCATGTGCGTTTGCAGCTTTGCATGCCTCGATCACTTCCTCCTAGCGAGGGAAACGCGAGCGAAACGGGACGCCCCCCCCACCGTTTTCCCGGTCGTGACCGGTCGTTGGACCCACGGACCTCGAAGCGACCTCGAGGCTCGGGGTGCAAGCGTGCCATGAATCACCTCTGAAACCAAGGCTGAAGTCAGCTGATGTCACCTGGTCTGAGACGACTTGTCATCAGTTAAGCTTTAATGTCTAGTCAACTCTGAGTCTGTATACCATAGTCAAAATCTACTCGTCAGGAACGAGCACTTCTCACGAAAAGTGCTGTCAACCATTTTGAACCACCACTCTTGTCCAATCGACCGACTAGGTCCCTAGCGAGGTCCCAGACCGCAGTCCAAATCTCGACCGGTCGGCTGCCGAATCGGCTGCTCGGCTCCTTGCTGTGATCTCGTCCCAAGCCATAGGACAAATTCTCTTCAATCGAGCAGGAGAATAATTGAGTATCTTGTGCTACGAAGCCTGAGGGGTGCACAGTGGACTGTATGGCGAACTTCTCGGCTCCACTCGGCTCCAATGTGAACACGCAGCCGGGGAAGTTTTAACGCTCAAAATGCTCAGTAGAATGCGTGAATTTCTTGTCCGCACACTGTAGAGATGGTCGTCTCCTTCACTGGGTTCCTCTCCAGGAAGATTGTTGAAGGGCTTAAAGATATGTGACTAAATATGCTGAAGATCTGTTGACATAGAAAACTTGTTGAACAAACTCATCTGGCGCACCGCAGCACTGACGAACACTCTTGGAGGAAAGCAACTTTGTGTCCTTAGTAGAACTGAGGGCATCACCCTAGCCATTCGTGGATAGTGTTTCAAGTGGGTCACTGAAACATGAACATTCTCGCTCAATGTCATTGAATGCCAACTTGCACCTTTGCCAATTCAAGGAGAATCGATCCTGCTTTCCCACTCTTGGCCTTTGAACTTTCTGAATCCCACTCCCTCACGCAAGCCGCAAGGGGTAGCATAGGGGATCCCTTGAACGCCTCAAGCCGCTTGGCCTGAAACCACTATTCATCTGAGAAACACGCTTCACTTTGGAATCTTGGAACAACAAACTTTCTATTATGCAGCTTCAAAGTGCAATGGATGCCCCATGACCTGTGCCTCTCTGTTCTTCTTTGGATTTTTTGTTAATCACCACAACACAAGTCTACAGCTCATGGTTTTTGGTTATACTTCTTGTACTCTACATGTCAAAAGGCATCAGGCAAAGAACATGCACGCAACCTACCATATGATTTTCTGGACCCACCATCACCGGTCGCCACACCGAACGCCGCTTGAGAGACCCGAGACGCACCGCACCGAAAAACGGGACCCTGGACACTAAACAAACGCCTACACCGAACGCCGGGTCTTTCGCTCCTGTTGAAACAGAAACCAAATGAAGCCCCAGTAGTCCTACCTCCAATGGTATAGAGCTCCATACAGCAACAGCCCAGTCTAATCCATCTAATCCAGCTGAAACAGCCTGTGTTGCTTCATGGCCCAGAGCTCATCCTTGAGGTCAGACATTATGTCTACTTACTCAGCTGGAGGTGATCTTTAAAAGTGACCATAGGGATAACAAACGCACCTCCAAAGGTATTGCCCGGATCTTCTAGTGGACCCGACCTTTGAACACCCCCCTGACAACGGGTGACCTATCGCGCACGTCGCATCCACGAATTCTTCCCGAATTCGCATGAATCCACATACTTTCTCAGGGTTTGGTAGGACTAAACACCCCCCACATGGCCTGTGTCACATATGAATCTTATGAAGCCCCTACATCTTCCTCTCTGTCCATCCACAGAGGCGGTTGCGACCTTTGTGTGACCTTCGGTCCAACAAATCGACTGCCCCGACCCGATCAGTACGTAGAGGAAAAACAAAGATTCTTATTCTATTTGTTGTAATATTACTAATTATCAAATATATATATATGATTTTATATGTATTCTTGATTGTGTTAGTTTCTTAATTGTCTTCTTTTAATGTTGTGTTCTCCGGGTGTCTTTGCCGTCCAAGATGATTTCTCCCGCCGTGGGCTCGTAGAATCGCATCCTGAGACATCGCTCGCGTGAGAGAGCGATGCGAACGGAGGGTCCGAGACAAGTCTGGGACTGGAAGGTTCCAGTCCCATGGAGTGTCTGGGAAGTCCCATGCTTGATGTTGGAAAGAAAGAAGATGGGATAATCCCGAAAAGACACCAGCACTAGGTCTTGCTTGAACAGTTTTTAATGTGACTGATAAAGGATGTCAGTCGGTAAGTGCGGAATGCTTCTTAGACTGCTGTGAGCCACTCCCATCTGGGACTAGGGCAATGGAAGATTGCGCTGTTCAGCAGCACACGGTTTCTGACCAGCTTTTCACCATGTTTCAGACCGTGTACCTATCTTTTTTCGTTGGGAGCTAGAAATCTCTGAGTCCTCATGTGACAATCACTTTCAATAAACACACAATATAGACAAGCAAAAATCACAACTTGCATGAATTGAGGCAAAGCAGCAACAAATGGACAAGTGTACCTGAGCAACAAGGCTTTCAACCAGGAAGCACGCTGTTAAGGCTGCTGGCCAATTGAAAAGACATGAAGCAACAACTCAGGTTTAATTTGCTTGGTTTCTGCTCGCATTTTCTGGCTCCACAATCACCTTTGAGAGTCGACAACCTACAATAACCCACATATAATACATGGTGAGTGCGGCCACCTGGCCGATGAAGAAGCCTAACTTGAGTGGACAAAATCTCCAAAATCACCGAACTGCTCCGTTGTGGGACCGGTTGCTCCTACCAACTGATGCCGGAGAACCAATTTAAAGGGTATCCTTTTGTTTGCGGCACATACAAGCAACCTCCTGGGAAGCTTGTCAATTGCTGGCACGCACGCCGAAAATGTTGAGTCATTCGGGCCGTAGCCGTAGCCAAACAAAAGTGTGATGATGAGTGGAAGAATCGAACTGAGCTGGATTAATATATATATATATCTCTTTGATTGGAAGTAAAGTTATAGCAAGTTACAGCTTGTGGTCACTGAACCCCAGAAGCGTTAAAGGCAAACCAACAAAAAAACATTCAATGTTAAGAACATTTAAGAACAAACCTGTAGTAGAGAACCATATATTGTACTTTGTCTTGGCTTCCAGGCTCTCCAGTTGATTCCAGGATATACCAGGATAGTTCAACGGAGCACTGAGTAGTGCCCAGCACTCGCAACGACAACGACTGACGATCAGTGGCAACTAGTCGATTGTCCACAACAACAACTTGATGCGTCACGAAATCCTATATATATATATAAACACAAACTCCCCACTAAGAACTATTGTTTCTTTAAAACAGCTTCGTTATTGTAGCTTGGAGTATAGTCTTCATCAATCAAGGATGAGGTACTCTTGCCACCTCCACTTTTTCCCACCAAGGCAGTAGTCGTCCCTGGCGGCATTTCCATATCAATACCTGCTGCGAGATGCACAAATGCCACAAGTTTTTCCTGTTTTGTTTCAGGCTCTGATGGTGCATGATCTCATGCCAACAGAGGTGGGTCAGGACCCGAACTAGACTATCCCAGTTCGGTACCCCAGGTTACGGGTCCTAGTTCAGGTCACTGTCCACCTCTGTAGGTTTTCTACAGCAGACTGGCTCAAATCACCAGTCCTCCTCCCCACTCTCGGTGCTTGGAAAGCGAACCGGAGTGAAGAGCGAAAGCCTCCACGACCACCGGCGGTGGAGAAGCAGAGTTCAACTGTTCAACGACCCGGTCATGCGAACGGACCAAGTCCATGGGTCCATCGGAAAGAAACACATAAAGCAATTAGAACATATCACGCACGCTTCGGACGATCCGAACGAATGGCCTCAGCATAGCCTTAATAATAGTAATAAAAACCGCTCCATGCACCAGCCGCACACTGTCAGGATGATTGGATGGCAAACTAAGTGAAGGGAAGTACTCATGAGTAAACCAATGGCTGAGGAGCCAGGCTTTGTTGTGTTTTCCTTCCAAAACCTTGGCAGGCCTTTCAAAACGATGCTGTCCGGCCGTGAGCGGTAGCGGAATTGGATCCCGCGCAGCTTGAGGTGTCCTGGCCACACGATCTGAGGCAGTAGAATTGGGTGCCGATGAAGTAGATGCCAATGCTTGAAAGTGACGAAATTGTCATGAGTCTGTTGGGTTGACTTCTATCCAACTTGTCTTTGCAAGAGGAAACTAGTCTTTCCATGCAGAGAAGCCACATAAGAATGTTCAGAGTGAACAAAATTCAGCCTCATAGTGAATGTTGGGAGAGGTGCTCTGTATCCCTTGACACCTTGTATGAATAGTCTTGCTGAGCTCATATTAAGGGGACGGTAATCAGGATAAAGTCCTGAACAGTTATGATGCAAGACTCTTCAATGCTACCTTGCCAGTCTCAACCTCCCATGCTGCAAATACCATTAAAGTTGACTGATTTTAATCAAACCATATCAAACCATTACATGTCTCTTGTAAACCTTTCAAACATACAGTCAATTGGTTCTCTCCTGACCTATGTCTTCTGGTGTCCTTTCTGGTGTTTACAGGGATCCGTGCGTTGCGATGTGTTGTGGGTAAAACGATGCGTTCCTCGAAGAAACCAGCAAGACTCCTATGCTGGTACCTCAGCAGGTACCATATGGAAGATAGAGGTAGCTCCACATTGCTGCCAAGTGGTGCCTGCTTCAAACAAAGCTCAATGATTTTCCAGGCATGAAGGACCCAACGAAGATGCAAAGGCTTGGCTTGGACTAGAGCGTTGCATTTCGAGGACATGGTTAAAATACCACATAATCTGTATAGTCCTGGAAGTTCTCAAATATCAATGATTCTCGGCAATCTGGGAACCTGTCCTCCCGCAAGCAAGCTGAATGAAATGTCCATGTTTGTCCGACTTCTGCCTCAAACCGTTCGTCGGAAGCTCCGTCGTCCGTCCGTCGTCCCTCGTCCGTCCCGCATCATCCGTCCTTTGACGGTCTCGCGCACGAGGACTTCTCCCTCGTCGGGGTTCACATCCTTAGTGTTTTGTCACGCGACTGGGGATGGCCACCTTTTTTTCCCAACGAGTTCGGACGTGAGAAGTCCGAGACTTCCACGTGTTGAGCTGTCTTTCTCCCTGGCAAATGCTCCAAAACACCACGGAGTTTTTGAGCCGGCAGCAGTGGTTTTAGGAGATTAAAGGAGATTACAACATGTACTCCTCTGCAGATTAACATGAACCCCCAAAACCACTAGGTTGTATCGGAAAATAATGGGAAATAGTCTTCCAAAGGTCTAAATCTTCCCGTGTGAAGTGGTTAAAGAAGGGACTGCACTGCATGGACTGCATCCCAGACCCCACATCACTGGTACTGGGGGAACATCCATGGAGATGACACCCTAGAAGGGATTGTTTAAGCCATGCAAAGCCCTCAAAAGTGACGAAGACCCTCGCGGATATCTATGTATTGGATTTCTTAGGTGAACTGAGAACTGTTAACCTTTCTCGTTTGAAGCACAACTGTGCCCAAGAGGAGAGTGGGATAGGGGGGAGATCTGAACAAGATTGTTTCATGAACAGAATCCAATGGTCAGCTCCACAAAGCTGCCTCCACTGTTCAAAAGGATTTCTATTTCTGGCCAGTACTGCTGTCTTTGCATTAGCAAGCACACCAAAGACCTTTAGTATTGGAGCCAATCGTCTTTACGAGTTTGAAACCGTAGTTAGCTGGAATCCAGTCGTGGGATATCCAAGACCATGGACGACCATCGCATCTGGTTGCTTTGCAGAGCTCTCTGTGGGTCTGTGCCCGCTAGCTATACGAAGACCATCTCCTGAAAACCAAATGCAATGAGGTGCAATGAGCTTTTCCAGCAACCTTGTCCCCTGTCACTCGAACGCGATGATGATGATGAGGAGGAGGAGGACGACGACTTGTACTAGTAATGAATCCCCTCCATCCCGGTGGATGACCCTCCCTCCGGTCACCCTCAACGGAACCCAACAAGTCTATGGAGAGTGCATGAGTTTCTGTTGGGAGAGTGCGTTGCGCGTAGGGAACTAGTAACTGCAGGGGAGAGTGCAGTATGGCAAAAACGATTGCTGGTTGGAGAGTGCGTATAGGGAGAGTGCATTTTAGGTGGCAAAAAATGATTTCCGCTTGGTTTCTCTTTGGGTCTTCGGACCGCTGTTCGACCGCTGTTCGACCGAGCGACGGGCCGCGCATCGATCAAGGACAAGACCCGTTCCGCCGCTGAGGAGGAGCGGATCAGGTCATTGAACACGTTCCTAAGAGTATAGGGGAGCACGAAAACAGGGACGGAAGAAAGGAGAGATTGAGATGCTTGGAATCTTCTTGAATAGCTCGTAATTGAGTGCTAGGTTGGCATTGTCCCCCTGCAAAAGCCAGGAGTTCAATCAATTCTGATTTATGGTTCAGGGCCGAAGAAATACATTCAAGGCAAATATATCTTTCTAACAGTGCATCTGTGCTTCCCAAGAGAGATGAAGGCGTTGTTCATCATATTCCAGTAAAGTTGAAAGGTAATCAAAGAGCCTTGGCTGTGCCGATCAAAGATGTGCCGAAGCAAAAGACATGTTAATACATTTGAAGCTTTGCGTTCAACCTCAATGACATGTGTGTTCATCGTCCTCAACTCTTCTTTGCTAAGAACTGCTAAGATAATTGAGCATGCTAATTTGTCATGGAAGAGCATGGACATACTTGCAAAAATCCAGAACGGACACTGAAAAGACCACAGCTGATGTTTTCAAAGGTGCAACCTGGCAGCCGATGCTCATGATCTTGCCTTCGCTATCACAGACCAGCTGCCCGCCGTACCAAAGGATCAAAACAGCAGTGCCTAAGTTCAAGTAGGTGGAGAAGGCCGTCACAGAAGCTCCCACATAGGCGTTCTTCACACCGTGGCCCAGCGCCGTATTGATGCTGTCTGAATACTTGTTGGACTCAAAGGCTTCCTGATGGTGGAAACACAGCGGTGGGCGGTGGGTGCCCAAATTGCTGCGCCCCTGAAAGGAAAAGACATGGAATAAATTCCTTCCGATCTTGATATTGTTGTTCACCATTCACAGCACATCCTAATCCCTATATATGACTATATTAATATGTTCATCAAATGTTCCTTCAATGAAACCTTGTCCCCTCGGCAAACACCGCAGCTCTTCGCCCCAGGACTACCGCACCGAGCCCTCCCCCCAGCAAGCCGGGCGCACGGACCGTGTCTCGGCCGTGTCTCGGTGGAGAAGCCACGGACCGTGCGGATGTTGCTGATGGCATCCGTCGCCGTGGAGTTCGCTTCGCCGTAAGCGCAGTAGATGGAGCGCGTGACGCGGCGCGCCCACTTGGCATAGACTCCTTGAGGAGAGTGCTCGATGTGGACGTCGAGCACGCCCACACACTGCACGTTTTGTGTGGAAGAAGTGGTTTAACCAGTCATGTTTGCTCCCCACGGGGGGGTTAAAGGCTCGGCCTTTGTTGAATGCCATAGACCCTGTAATACTCTGTACCACTACCCTTCGAGGTGTTTTTTGGGGATGGACTCCCTCGAAGAGGTATGTTTCATCCAAAAACAACCCAGAATGGTTGGCAAAAACTAGAATTGATCGTCGCAAGTTGAGAACGGTCCTACTGCTGAGGCTCCGCAGTCCCGATTACTGGATTTGCTGAAGTTTCGTTTGTCGAAAACTGAACACAGGAGCTCCACACCCAAGCGTTGTCTAGCGTGGTCTCTATCGACTTCTGCTACGTAGTCCGATCGAGTTCACAGCCATGGTGGTGGCTCCTTGCGGCTACTTAAATACAACAATACAGCGCACCAGGCCGTTTGTACCAGCGCCTGAACAAAAAGAGCAAAATCACCATGGCATATCATCATGGCATTCATTTTCGGACATCGGCGGTGCCGACCGTGAAGCGGTTGAACAAGTGTGCCAAGGATCTGTAGCTGTAGGTGATGGGAGGGACGATGGTCAAGGCCAAAATCGAGAGTTTCCATGAGGTTCGGAAGGCCATGAACATCCCACCTACCTGACAAAAAAATGACCACGACAGGACGGTGACCTATCTGAGTACTTTCTTTTGGTCTATGACTGCGTGTCATTGGCAGCTCTGGATGTCAGAGAGCACCTACTTAAAGTGGTGGATAAACCAACTACAGTGCAACATAGTGCAACTTGATATTTAAGAGCAGGTAAACAACTTACTTTACTTCAATAGTGTGAAACTAGAGCATCCAAAAACATCACTCAAAATCACTCAAACAGTTTGAAAGAAAACAGAATAGCTTCTGCAACAGCCTCGGCCAGCATGCTGGACAAGCCATCCTCTTTTTTTGTCGCGGGGTCCCGGGAGGTTCTTGAGTTTTGGGAGTGCAATCATTCAGCAACAGAACCTGCAATCATGCAGGCAAAATACCAGCAGTAGCACGTTTGCCAACAAGTCGTTCAACAAGGTGTTCAAGGGCTGCGTCATCTGACCTCGGATCCGTGGCCACACACGGACGGACGGACACCGCGGGGCCGCGTTTCACGCGGATGCATCGAAACAGCAGCTTTTTGAACAACCCCTCGTTCGGCAGGCAGGGTCAGACGGATGCTCCAGTTGTACCGCAAAGAAACATGAACCCAAAAGTCACCTACCAGGAGTCTCTTTAAGTGAGCTCTTTGGAGTCTCTAAGTGACCTTTTACGGCCTGTAAGTGAACTCGTGCTGGGATATCAAGTTCGGTCACTTTGAAGATCCTGGTATAGGAGTCTTCATCGACCCAGGTTAAGGCCAACCATTGGCATGGAAGTGCTCTGTTCCTACTTGTTACCATCGTTGTCCGTTCTGTTTTGTGTTGCGAGGCCAAGAAGCGACCTGACCGAGCTGTCTCAATGCTCCTAAAACTAAGCCTGCGTATGGCCCCGCATTTTTGAAGGGGAACCATGATCCCGGGAGAAAACGAAAATGCCCAGCGAATAATGTATTATATCCTCTGATGAGTAAGGATTTGTAATGGATTTGTGCTGTTCATGAGTTGGGATTTTGTGTTTCCGTTAACTCCTTGGTGATGCGAGGATAGATAGATAATAGATAGATAGATAGATGGATGGATGGATGGATAGATAGATAGATAGATAGATACTGTAGATAGATAGATAGATAGATAGATAGATAGATAGATAGATAGATAGATAGATAGATATATTATTGCAGTGAATGTCACACACACACAAAAACAACAACTCAGGTGCTGTGGCGAACCGTGCTGGTCAGAGAAGTAGGGTTCCTCTTTGATGGACACTGAGCATATCAAACAAATTCAACCAAGAAGCTTGCGTCGTTGGTCATGCGCGAGGTCAACTGGCCAGTGTGCATGGTGTCAAAGAAGGCAATGTCCATGCGAATGACGCTGGCAAAGAGCTTCAATCGCACAGCACATGCCATGCGTCTTTGTACCAGTTCTTGTGCCAAGGACTTCAAGCCACCTAAGACTCGAGGGCCGAGAACGACTCAATGGACCGCCCAGGCTGTTGGAAGTGGCCTTTTCACTCACCGCCTGTTCATCGCCTTCTCACGGACCTTATAGATCCTTATATATGGAAGTCGTATGAGTCACGTGTGTTTCAGGGCTCCATCTGTCCCAGGTGGACCGGCCTGACATCTTGTCGTCAGTCGTGTGAGGTGGTCGAATGGACCAGTCGAAGAGAAACAACACATGCTGCGGCTGCAACTCATCAAGGTGTCAAAAGGGGTCGACCGGATCCATGAATTGTACTGACTCTCCGTGGATGAATCAAACCCTTTCACAAGCTTTCAATCTTTCAAGCACGAACCTGTTTCAGCAGCCTGCGGCAGCCTGGACCAGCAAAATAACTCAAAATAAAGAGCCTTTGTTGATTCCGACTCCATTTGGGGATGAGTCAAACGCCATGTTGGAAGGTCCACCAGTCCCCTGTCGGGGGTCGGTTCGGCTTGTATCCTGCCATGTGACTGAATGCACCTTGCAGTACCATGATGGTCACATAGGTCGCCATCGCATCTTGAAAGCGGTCTTTTCCGACACCCGGATTCTGCAGATAGGCGATGATGCCGTCGAAGATCGATCCTCTCCGCCAGGATCGATCTCGTGGGTCATGGGTTTATTTTCGGGTTGCCAAGAGATAGGAGAGATAGGTATATATTTCCATCTGGTCATGGACGGCGAAAAAAAGGCCTGCATTTGGGCCCAAAAGCCCCAACGGACACGATCTGGACGTTAAAATAGTGACCTTCCAAAACAAATGACAAATTCCATGTTAACTTGTCTTTTTGCAACAATAAAATAAAATACTGATTTCAACCCACCAAAAGTTCAGTCCAATCCTACCCGAGTCTGAATCTGAAGCATCACTGCAGAAACATCTACTACTACATCCAATCCAAAGATTCCCAGTAGACAAAGAAAAAAACACAAAGCAGCAACGAGGCTGCAGAGCTTGTATCATCATTATATCTTCTAGCTGTTGGACCTTGGTCTTCAGTCAAAACCCTCGCGGACCTCGCGTTCAGCCCAAACGGACACCGTTTGTACGACCACCTTCGGCCCTTCGACCCGACGAGGGAGACTGTGCCATCTATTTGGAATCTGGATGGGGCTGTAGTGACTACGAAACAAGGACTTAAGTTTTTTTCAGGCTTCATGATTTGTGTACCCTCTTCCCAACGACACAAGTGAAGTTGAATGCATTTAAAGCATACCAAAACAACGATGTCGCCAGGGGTACTGGGTCAGAGATGGCCTGATCATGATCGTTCGCTGTTGTTCCAGCCGAACAATCAACCCATGAATAGTTCCATCCACCAACAAACATTGATATCTAAACCAGGATCTCAACCGCAGCAAAAGTTATTCGACCAGTGTATAGTACATTGATCCTGGAAAGCCCCATCTTCATTGCTACTTGTGGTGTTCTTTCCAACACCAACATAGCCCCCCAAAACCCACCCAAAAATCTCCGAAATGGCCAGAAAAAGAAAACAATGTAGTTTTCGTGCGCAACAGGATTTCCCACGCCCAGCATACGCACGCGTGCCGCTTCCCGGCGGGACAACCACGCAGCTCCTTGAAGTTTGGGCGCTAAGATCTGAAGGCTCTGCATAATCACCAAACACACCAAAGCGGCCACCAAAGTCGGCCAGAAATCCATCGCCAGATCCCTCAGATGGTCTCGAGGCTGTCCGGTAGAACAACATAGACAGACCCCTAACGGTTTCAGCTCTTATTGCGTCAACTACTGAATTCCAATGTTGAGGGAAACTTCTGCATTCATGTGCAATTACATAGTGTATACAATTATATAATGCTATATAAGCTCTTATGGCCGCCAGCTGTTTGGGAACATGTTGAACAGCATGTACATAAATCATGTATATAGAAAATAATAATGACAATAAAACACACACAAAGAACATTCTTGATCATTCTTGTGAACAGGATTTGTATCAAATTTGAAACTCTGCATCACTGTTGCATTCATAGACCCGAGAAACATGGAGGAAGGGAACGGAGAAAGGGAAAGCGGCGGGGCCAAGCAGGGGTCAAGGCCCGGACAAGGCTGTGACAAGAGGACCGACAACAGCAGGACACACAGACCCAAAGAAGGCCTGGACAAGCCCGGGACAAGGCGGAGAAGACAGGGCCCATGGCTTGGCCAAGGGCACACAAACCTGGACAAGGCCCGGACAAGGTGGTGAAGAAAGGACGGACGGTGCAGCCAAGGCTATCGTCGCCAGCCCTTATTTCCTAAGAGAGAACCCCTTCAACATACCCCACTGTAATTATATAAACTGTCTGGCAAAAACAACAACAACAACAACAACAACAACAACAACAACAACAACAACAACAACAACAACAACAACAACAACAACTAAAAATAGACCTTTCCCTATACCATGTTGAGCCTGTTTGCTGTTGATGCCTTGTGGTGTTGCAGTGCATGCACTGGCTGCAACATGTGTTTACTATATTTGTTTGCTGCACTGTACGCATGTGTTGTATACAATGTGGCAGGCATGAGGACAAAGAGAAGTTCATTCTGTGGTGCATCATGGTAGCTAAACAAGTAGCTTAGTAGCAACTCACTGGACATCATTCCCTGCTCTCCCTGCTCGCTCTCCTTCCCTTGTAAAGCTACTACTGTCCATGGCGATAACGGGTTTAGGCCATTTTCGACGGAGAGGGTTTTACGGATTGATTCGCTGTGGTGTCCTTTCTCTGTGTCTTTTTAAACATGCTCAATCCATGTTGCACACTGTTTTCATGGCCCCCCATTTATGTTAACTCATCCAAAGACCTCTCCGGACAAAAAGACAACATCTCACCACTGCATTCTTGTCTTGTGCTTAAAGAATCACAAACCGGAAACAACAACAACAACAACAACAACAGTTCTCTCCAGAAGGTCATCGAAGCATGGTGGTTCGGTGGTTCGTGATCCGTCCAGGCGTCACGATCCGTCGGAAGTAGGTCCAGGTGGTAATCTGCTCACCGTTGCCCCTTAAGGATCGAGCTCCGAAGCCCTTGGCGCTGGTCTTATCCTTCCTGAGGCGCGGCTTGGTTGCGCGCGCCCCGGTTTGGACCACCGGCTCCAGGGTTCGATTCGATGCTTAAGATTAGGACTTTTAGGAACCCCAGTCCTGTTTAAATGGTCTTCACCTATATGGTCTTCTTGTGGGTTTTTGGTGTGCATTGCACTTAATTATGTGTTTGTTGTTGTTTTCTTTAAATGTGATCCCTAAAAGAGGTTATATTATATATATATATATTAATATGGTTTTAAACGTTTGTTATTGTTTGATATTGTTTGTTGTCATTGTCTTTTGTTGTGTATGCTACAGCCTTAAGAATTCCCTTGTTGGTGGGACATTTCATCGCGTTCGACTTGCAAAGGTGCATAAAGGCCAATGAAAAGCCATTGAAAGCCTTCCGTTCTTGGACCAAGTATGATGTTATTTGAGTCGACCAAACTCTGGGCAGGATTTTGTATTGGTGGCGACGGCGACAGGTGATTGGTAGCAGGCCTTGTTGTTCATAGAACATGGTACCCACGCATGTCCAAGGGGCAAGCGTTCAAACATATGGATCTAACCCTGAGTGTGCACGACGATGCACGGTGCCCAACACCGGGCGGTAACCGTTTGAAAAAGCAACTCCAGCATGGAGGGCCCTCATAGTCATTAGTTTCAACCCCAACTCCACCGCAATAAACGCAGGTCGATCGAAACACAAGGTGAAGTCTGAAATGAGGTACTCATCAACTATGTCTTGCATTCTGCACGAAATAGTAAACCCCAGACCATCAGGTGCCAGCGGCTGCCAGTGTTTGAAAGATCACAAGTGAAAAAAGAACACATGCGATCTGATCCCGGCCGCGGCGGCGCCTTAGTGGCCTGGCCTCCGCATCAAGAGGAGGCCATGGATACAAGTGTTTGTGCGTTGAAACAAACGTCAAGGTGGCGTTTTGTGTTCGTTGTTGCTGAAATATCTGAAGAGCAACAAGTTGTGTCTGGATAATAGCATCTCTTCAACGAAAACCACCTTCAGGATCCTTCAGGTCTTTCTTTTCAACCCAGCCAAAGTGCTTGACAATATTGAGGACTGGAAAACTTCTCGGAACCTGTAAGGGAACGTACCAATTCCGGACTTGAAGTGGCGAGGTCATTCATCGTGCTTCTGGCTCGTCTCATTGGTAGCATCAGTTTAATCTACCTACCTTTCAAACCATCAAAAACAAAACAGGAAACTCATGCAATTCTCAAACACCCCAAAATCTGCCAAAATATGCAATTTGTGCAAACATCTTGGATCACATTGGGCAGGTGTCCTTCCCCACGATTGTATTTGTCTGGCAAAATCAAGGTCAATCTGCAAACCCAAGACTCTGCTTGTAACATCTTGGGCACAAATCAAAGTCGCAGGTACGGCACCGATAGGCCACGTAGTGGGGGCCCTGCCAGTCAGGGCGCGCACTACGCCGGTGGAAGACGCGTGGGGGACGGGTCACCTCAGGGGATCTCCGTCGATGTCAGCTCGGATCCTGTTGCTCCTGTTGCTCCAGAGCTGCCCAGCTATACCTGTTACTGCAAACATATGAATTCCTAAATCACCCGATGGTGACCATGTTGCTACCCGATCAAACATGTAGAAAAGGCAAGAGAAACAAGATGAAACAAGAGACCGGGACGCCCACCAAAAGCATCAGAACATGTTGGGGCCTCATCTTCTAAGAAAATTCCAAGTTTATGTGGTGCGGAAAAGAACGATTGGCTGGTTGGTTGCTTGATTGGAAGACGCGTCACAGCCATGAGGAGGTGGTGAACAACTATTGCAACATACTCAGAAGATGTCTTGCTGAGTAATTTTCCAGTCCAACAGTAGATGATGATGACGTTTGGTGCTTCTGCAGTATTCACGCTTGACCACAGGGAACTTCATGAATCATAAAACCACCAAACTTGCATCTAGTCCAGCGCATAAAAAAGCAAATTGGTCTCTCACATGGGCCTACGATTAGAAGCGTGTTTCCTACGGATGGAGTGGTGTTTCAATACTCGCGTTTCCAGTGCTTTTTGGTGCGTTTTCGACAGTCGCACATGTCCTACCCCGGCTGAAACAGTCGATGAAGATGCCTTCTCCTTTCGGTTCGAACGCGTCATCGCTCGGCTATCTTTCCAACAATCGTAGCCAATCGTCTCCAGCCAGCGATTGGCATCAACAATGGCATCAACAAATGGAAAAGGATCAGTGCTGAGAAACTTGGAACAGAGCCAGAACTGTATCAAGTGAAGAGATAGATCCTCTCGTCTCCTTTTCCAGGGGTTCCATGGGTCACCACTCCACCAGTCTGGTCACGTGAAGGGTGAAACAGGAGGGTCCACCGTCTTCACCCACCCGTCGACCCCTCTTTCGGCCTTCATCTGGTCACTGCAAATGTCGCAGCCGTGACATTTCAGTCCAGTTTCAAAGAACAGGGGGTGCATGTGAATGTGCGCGATGAGCCTCATCTCCCACAGCAGAGAAAAAGCATTGAAAAAAGAGCAAAGAGGGCTTGTTTCAACCAGGAAATGCACCAAAACAACAACTTACAAACATCCTTCTGCCTTCTTTCCGCGTGAAACTGGCTTCACAAAAGCAACACCCAGGAGGCTCGTATAGCTCGGCTGTGAGGTGTTGCGTTTCCTACATGACCCCTGCATGACCCCTACGCCACGACCAGGACCGAAACCGTATGCGACTTGGACATCGGCAAGGCCCAGGCCCAGGCAGCAAACCATTCAGTCCACACTCGTCACCTCTGAAGAGTGAACATCTTCGTAGACGCAAGACGCGTTCCTCGAGCTTCATCTGGCAGTCGCTGAAAACCTTTCTGGACGAGTAGCTCACCTTGCTCTTCAGTGAACTTGTTCAAGATAGTTTTCAACATAAAGTACTCCTCGAGCTGTGTCGTTGGCAGAACATTCACCTAGAACCTCCTTCCAGTGTCCACGAACATGTCAGGAAACTGCATGCAACCATCATTATTATCATCATCATCGTCGTCATCATCATAATCATCATCATGACTCGGCCCAACTGGTTTAAGCTTACCTAGTTGACTATCTTTTTTGCAAAATCTTCGCGCAAACATGACCCTCTAAACTTTCACAGAAACTTATACAATCAAGCAATATCAAGCAATGGCGGTGCATTCTTCTGGTTCTTTGCGGCCAAAAACTACAACTAAGAACAGGCTTCTTGGGATCCGCTGACGTCCTACGTGAGGGATGGCCGACTTAGTTTGGTCAAGAAGCCACATTGATGATGACCATAGTGAGAGCTTGCAAGGTCCCTTGCAGAACCAGAAAGCGCGGATCATAGTGATAAACAATGCACTTGATGCCATTGTAAAAGGACATGCCTGGCGGCCAAAGGGATGAAGGGACTTGCATATGAATACTATTGAATAATGGATACTCTTACCCTTCAATAGGCACTTCAATTTGTCAATAGGGACCTTTGGACCTGGTCCGCTGGTTGGTCGAGTAGCGATTGGTCGAAACGATTTGGTAGAACCATCGGTGTCGACATGGTAGCTCATGTGTCGTTTCTTGGAGAAGACCTACAGGGACCAACAAGACCGGACCTTCTCAAACACGGCTGGGACCGAGCAGCTTTTGGGAGTAGCCTCCAGCCTCTGGCGTCACGAGACTGACCGAAGGACCCATCGACATGAGAATGGCCAACCAACGACCCGCACCCTATGCCCTATTCATGCCTATGGGCGGGTAGGGGATATGAACACGGATGCTTTCCATGGAACGTCGAAACCCACAGAGTCAAATGGGAAGGACATAATCAAAGGTTGTTGCAAAATAATTCTCAGTTTATAATGGGTGGCAAAAATACAGCTATGTTTCGCCCTAGGAACAATATCCAAGCTTACGTTTCTATTGTTCTGCTATTGCCGACCTTTAAGATCGTTGCTTAACTGTTCTGAGTTTTGCTTGATTCATGGAAATCTTACTAGAAAAAACCTGTTTCAAACCTTTTTAAACTCATCGATTTCATTGCTTCATGTTTTCAAGAAGGTTTTTTACACGCCCAGGGGCAGTGAATAACAAGAATTGTTTAGGGGGTGGGATTAATAAGTATACTTGGAGCTTTAGGACACAAAACATATTGCTCTTCTATTACCACAACAACAACTCCTACTACTCCTACTGTCCTACTCCTACTACTACTACTTCTACTATTACCTGTACTACCTCTACTTCTACTTCTACTACTACTACTACTTTTGGTGGGCTTGACTCTATTCATTTTCCATCGATTGCTTGCTAAGGGGTGGTTGTGCTAAATAAGATTCGCACATTATACAAATTAGCACACACAATGTTGTCATCACAATCGGCTTATGGCATATGTACATCATGTGCAGGTTTTGACCCACACCCAAATTTCATGTGCCTGTGCTCACCGCAAAGAGGAAGATCATGATGAACTCTTTCCGCCGGTTGGCCTTCCTCAAGGGAAGAGTTGGTCCGGTTGGCGGTTGGCGGTTGGCTTTCCTCACAATGTGCCCCATGCTCAAATCCAACTGGTGCAAAATCATCTGAACGCTAAGTAGAGTCTTCAGATTGTCCGTGTTCGCTAGAACCATCCCGTGATTACCTGAAAAAGAACGATGTCTCCCATTTAGCAAAGAGAAGCCAAATAAGGTAATATATATATATGTATATGTATACAAATGGGAAGGATACCAACGACATCCAACAACCTCGTTTCAAGCTCCAAAGTATCGTGTTGATTCCTTTTCATGAAACAGCTCGGGAAGAATCCCCGGAAGAAAAAATCAAAACAACTCCGGACCCTGGGTATATATTTGAGACAAAGGGGAGGGACAGGGAGGGAGGCTGTGGACGTGCTTTTTGGTCAGCGCCTGGCCTTGGCTTCCGCTTCCAAGCGAGGATTTGATCTTATAGGATTGGGATTATACCAACAGAGGTTGAAGGACCCTTTAGACTATATCATAGGTAAGGTCCTTTGTCAGGTCACTTAACCTCTCTTGGTAGGGATGCTCAAGTTGAAGCTTCTGAAGAATGCCTGCTATTCCTCAAAGGTGTTGTCTTTATCAGCCAAACGGTGCATGGAGTGTCTGGAAAAAGGGTGAATCTTAGCGACTACTGCAAATCAGCAGCAGGAATTGCCACGTGTGTTTGGTCTAGATATGAAACTTGAGTGCAAGGTACAGACTTGCATAAAGGTTTCCAGATTCATTGAATGAAACAACCCCCTGCAGAAAGTCTACACAATTCTACACACTACCGCACCGTAGCAGACTGGTGCAGGCACTTGACGGCGTGATGAGTTTTTGGACTTGGCATCAACCATCCAACACCAAAGGCTGCCTCGTTCCAGCTACATCTCGCCCAAAGACTGACTGCGAAACTCCAACAGTCTTCTCAGCTTACCGAATTGAATTGAAGAAGCAAACTGCTTGGTGGCTCCAGTCCACATATGAGTCAGGAGATAATCCTCCCAAGATATTCGTTGAACATCAACAGACCCAGCGTCTTCATGAGCAAGGCGTGGTCGCGATTCATCGCAAACATGTCCTTGGTCTGCGAACATGCGACATCCGCCTTTTCGGTAGACCAGCGATTGCTGTCTAGTGTTGTATATAGTATATTATACATCATATTCATATATTACACATATATAATCATATATACCTTTGAACATGATAGCTATAGCACGCTATAACATGCTATAACTGGAAAGTGTTGAACCCGTCCCAAAAAGTATTAGTCAACATTAAATCAACTGAAGTAGTCTAAGTCATTCCCCAAGTAGGGTGAAAAGTACACATGAAAACGACCAACCAGAATAGGCACTTCCCACCATCCTTCTTGCAGGTCATGCCATGACCATGGCACCATGCAGCCCTGTCTTGCCCCACTCACCCACGAGACTCAGGTCTGACCGACTCGAGTCGTCCAAGCGGAGATAAACAACGTAAGTCCCTCAGTGTTTGTGCTTTGGGTCACCCATAGAGTCTCTAGAGACTCTAGGGTCTAACATCAACTTGAGTGTTCTAGAAAACAGCGTCTATTCCGAGCGCTGTTTAAGCATATGTTGTTGGTGTGTGTGTGTGGCTTCCAGGTGCTGATTGGTGAAGAAAAATGACGCGAACAATGCCCTTCTCAGCAACCCCCCAAACAAGCACTGCTTGAGTTGTGGCCAGGAACTGGGTTTTGAAAGTGACACATCCTCAACTAGTTTCCAGGGTGGTGATCTTGCGAGTAGACATATGACATACCCCTCAATAAGAACTCCTGGCCCAATCAAACCATGGCAAACCCAAACAAACCATGTTCGGCAAAGAAACCTCCGTTGCCTCCCCCGGCTGAAACTACAGACTTTGCCCCAGGGCTGAAACCGCTCCGGGACCAGCATGATGCCACGTCGCCACACTACTCGCGCTGCTCGCCACGCTGCTGCTGTGACCTTGGCAAGTCTCCTCCGCTTGGAGGTTGGGTCGTAATGATGATTAATGATAGTCCTGCAATAGACAAAACACTGTACAATCCCAAAGGCCACTCATGGCCATGCTTGAAAAGAGTGGTCCATATTATATTCCAACTATTCCTAGGATGGTTGTAATTACCCCAATCTTTGCTACACCAATCTTTGCTTGTCTCTGCTAAAGTCTTTATGTTGCAATCTGTCACAAAGTCGCTAGCTAGATGCTTTTGACTTGGGACGTGGTGACCTGGAAAAACAAGACTGTCCAGAGAGAAACATATCCACAGGCTGTTGACTGCTTTCAACCCTTGAACCAATCATCCCAAGGAAGGGTTGAAAATAAACATATCCGAAACCATCACCTAGTTGACAGCTGTACAGGCTTTAATTACCTTGAGTTGACAGGTCAAGAAGAGGTTTCGCGCGACGCGAGCAAGAAAACCTGACACGGGCAGTGAAAACAGAAAGAATGTGTTTCTCCCCTGCAGATTAACATGGAACCCCCAAAAATCACGGGACTGGAGAGGAACAAATGGTCGTTCACCAATCAATTCTCACGTTCGTTTGCGCCGTTTACGCCTCTTGTTTTAAAGAACACCTTCGCCGGAACACGGGAACAGTCACAGGCTGGTCGGACCAACACATCCGAACAAAGCCTGGTCATACGACTCTATGCGGACTCGTTTTGGACGAGTCGGACGAGTGGCGGAAAAATCCACAAAAGGAGATCCCGCAAAAATATATCGATCTATATATATATATATAGCACTTTTGGATTTGAGAAGCATTTTGGTGGGAGGCCTTTCCATCGTTTCTATCGCAGCAAAAAACGGTCTCTCTGGGCTGGCGCTGAAGCAATCGTAAAGCGCCCGGCTTTTTGACAAGGGTATCGCTACGATAGTAACCTTAAGGGCATTACTACTAGTAGCAAGAAGCTGTGTTGAGAGTAGATGGCACAATATGGAAAAAGTTTGGTGGCAGTGGTTTGTATGGCATGGCCGACCATGTGCAGAACAGGTGGACAGTTCGGTCAGCCCGTTACTAGGGAAAGAACGGCGAAAGGGAATCAGGTTTTTCACATCGACTCATGTGCAATCCTGACCATGTTCATTGATCCGCCTTACGGACATGTGTTCGTTTTTTCTGTACAAAAAGAGGCACATTGATCCGCCTTACAGACATGTCTTTTTTCTGTAGGCACTGCTCATGCACTGGGCTGTGCCCCAGACAAACTCGCTTACGTCGCTGCGAGTCTGGCGCACCTATGGCGGATCTTAGTGGTGGTTTCAGAGGTTTCTCTGGCCCGGGGGCCCGGGGCCCCGAAGATGTCTTAGAGAGATGGGGTCAACCCAAACAGCTGAGCATTTCACCATTCACGCCGTTGACCACTTGCATCGGGATAGGTTCCTGCGACCGAAGGCTGGGAGTCGTGTGATCCTGCACAGACGACCAGACTGAGAGACCTTCATGTTCACGGTGGATTCAAATCCAGAATCCACCCCGGCCCCGGCCAGAATGGATTGATTTATTAACATGGCGCCATGTAGTTTCCATCAATTCTATACCCACCCAGTGGAACTGGGTGGTGCATGGTGGTGCATGGTGTTTGGTTTCTTTGGTGCTGGAGACGAGGGTCCGGGTCCGGGTTGGGGCCTGTTGGACCCACGAGGAAGCGGTATAGCTGGGCTCGGCTCGGCAAAACCACAGGCCGCTGCTAAGTCCCAGGAAGTAGGTGGGATCACCTACAAAACCCAAGAGAGGTTAAGTGACCTGACAAAGGACCATAACCTGGGGTACCGAACTGGGATAGTCTGGTTCGGGTCCTTCAACCTCTGTTGGACCTTTCAAAGAATCACCACCAAATCACGGTAAAACAGGTGGAAAAGGAGGCTTTGTCTTGGCTCTGGGGGCCAGCAACGTCTGGTTGTCATCCATTTGAAGTCTGGTTGTCTCGCTCGGAGAAGAGATTGATGAAGGAATGGATCCCAAACACGAGCTCATTATGCCATGTATGCCTATACCAAACACTCCATGGAACTGTCATATATGCCGCCCCATTGGGGTGGTTTGGGGTGTCAATGTAGGCATATATGGCATACATGGAGTGTCCGTATATACCTTAACTCTCAAACCCACCCCAACTGATCGGCATATATGGCAGTCCCAGGGGGTGTCTGCGGATGGATTCTGACCACAACCGTGACAGTGCTCGGCGCTTCCGCACTGGGATGACCGAACAAACGAAGAGTCTTCGAGGTCCGAGTATGCCTCAGGTGTGAAGCTAACGTAGACTGAACCGGTTGATCACCAGGAATAAACAGAATAGTTTGTGCATTGGGCATTCATCGATCAGAGAGTCGTGGATGCGACATCCCATGTCTGGAGTTGTCCGCGAGGTAAACAGAATAGACTACCGGATTTTGACCCACAGCCACATAGGTGACGGGAATCTTGTTGAACCACCCAACGCTGGCTGCTAGGATCGGCCGTTTCTTTGATTCACGGCGATCGAGCAAGGTTTCGGCTGGAGTCGAGCTTCGTGATTGGTACCCAAAGGCAGCCAACGTCTCAGAACGTGGCACTCATCAGTCTTTTGTACATCACGCACCACATCAGCAAGTTGGAAGCAAGCTACACACAAACAAACATTATCATTAGCCTGATTAGGAACCCATAGGAACCCAAACCGAGATGTTTGAGGGCCACCACAGATCTCAACCAACAGTAGATGCCTAGATGCCTCTCGTCGTGCAGCTTAGCAATTCACTGGCTCCAACGGACCCGGAACGGACCCGGAGAACGCCTCGGCCAAGGGCACGCGCAGCTCGTTGCCGTTCCGTGGTGGCGAGGAGGAGACCTCGGCCTGAGGGCAGTTCGGCCAGGTGGCCGATCTAGGGCGGGAGATGAGATGTGGTTTATATACTGACCCCATCTGACCCCTAATAGGTTAGATGGAACCCCTATGTTGAAGGCCTATACTTACATATGATGGTCCGTCTGTAGCTTGGTAGCACCTTTCTTTCATGATGTTTCATGATGTGTTCTTTGTTCACAGTTTCTTCCAAGGCTTTACCAGGAAAATCAGAACATGGTCTTTCCTTCTTCGTCCCGGTCTCCGGCGATTTCGCCGGCTCTCCGGCCTCCTGCTCCCGTTGCAACTTCCGAAGAGGCGACCGGGCCTCCCGCGCGCGCCGGGCTCCGGCGACCGTGTGACGGCTGGAAGAGCCGTGTGACAGGAGTCATGCCTTAGTGTTTCCATGGCCAGCCGTTTCTTTTATTGAATTACGCTATTCAAAGCTAAACATGGTGACATGGTTCTTGGGATTCTTGGGGACAAAAGGGAACAGCGTTCCGATATAGGTTCCTTCCCGATAACATGCTCTTTCTCAAGCAACTATCCGTGCATATACGTGCCAGAATCAAGCGCGCCGTGGCCCATTCAATCGTGTGAATCAACCAGATCCTTGCACCACTTTGGATAGCTCCATGGGAAGTGGTGACCACCGACTTCCCGCGTGTTACGTGCGGACGTGGACCGGTGCGTATGCAAAAGGTACCAAAAATCCCCAAGACACTCCATGTATGTCATATATTATGCTTACATTAGGATGGTTTTGATCTGCACCTCCTTCAACAGAAAGCCCTTTTTTAGCCCCCTTCAGAGTCAAATAAATGGCCTGAAGGTCTGAATGTCTCAAGCAAAGTTGCGCTTTTAGATCTTTTAGACCCGTTCAAAGTCATCGGGTATCTGCCTCTTCCAGGCTTTGGCCATCCGACGATGAAACGACCATCCGAACAGGAGTACGTTGACCAAAAACATACCGTCTTCCGACATCACTGGAGAAAAATGGGAATGCCATGGAATGTGACATGCCCTAGGGATCCATGTACCTTCTCAGAAGGTACTTGGACCCTCAAAACCTATACATAAGAATGTCTCCAATCACCTTCTGAGAAGGTACTTGGGATCCCTAGGGATGCATGATCTGATCCGTTCATTTTCCCCATGCCAATCTTCGGTCACCTCAGTGCTTCGGTAAACCAAGAGCGCCAAGAGCGAGATCACGGGAAAAACCTCAACGGGAAGAGCTGACGTGTCCGGGGTGGGTCGAGACGGGCGAAAACCAAGTGTCCTACACAACGGTCCGTAGCGTGTCTTTCCACTCTTCAAGCTGACAGGAAAGAACCCCCTGAGCCGAGTGAAATCGTGTGGAATGTGTGGAATGTCCTGTGTCAGGGTCCAAAAAGTTCAAGGATACGAAAGAACTGTGGTAGCAAACCCCCCTGGTTGCGTAAGAAGAGCTCGGTCAATTCAATGGAGCTTTGGTGCTACTCATTGCTCACAAATCTTGGGACGCAAACGCACGCCAAAAACAACAGGCCACAAGTGGGCCACTGGCTCTTGTGCCGGTGAGCCAAGAACCAAGCTGCCGACACCTGGGCTAGTCTCCCGCATTGTCCCACATCTTCCCTCTACATGACTCATTGGTTCTGATCGCGAACCCTTCAAATCTTCAAGAATCTTCCGTTTCCTCCGCCCAAGAAACACCCCGCAGCGCTGCTTCCCGCCAAGCAACCACTAAACGCACCAAACAGCACGTGAGGGTGTCAGAAGTGGCCTCGCTCGCTCATCTGTCCGCTCGTCTGTCGGCGCTCCGGGCCGTCCAAAGCCATGCGTCTGGACAACCCATTGCGCCGGGTTTGCGTCTGCGCGTGTCGTTGCGCCCAAATTGATGTTTCAGATGCACGAAGCAAACCATGTAGCCAAAAGCTTGAACATGATATCCACCAGCCAGTGTTTTGAATTGTTTTGCAGATTCCAAATGCCGTCCGGGCCTTGATGTTGCATGGAGTTCCTTTGGTCACCAACCATCTGTTTCAAGTGTATGTTTCATGCAAAGTACACAGGTCAGACCTTCATCCCGATCCAAGCACTTCACCGGAAACCTCTTGTTGCCCAACCCGTGCGGTCACCGAACTGATGAACTGTACCACAGTGCTGCCCGTGGAAGAGAACGGCCGCGTTCTCTGACTGGTGCGTTCAAACATACCCATCTAGTGGCGCCTATAGTAATGGCACGGAATCTGCTGAGTGCCAAACCGACTCGTAGGTGCTGGCATGGCTATCCTTGTGAGAGATGTGGCCCAGGTGGAAATCAGTGCCAGCAATAATGAGGTCCACCAGGAAGCCCTGGAGCATCCGTGAGGCCATGGAGTGTCATTTATTCAAATAATCACGTCCGTTGGAGCTCTGGCACCAAGTCAAAAATTCTGAGTTGCCGAGCAAAATGCCGCATAATACTGAGTGTGATAGCATTAAAACTACTGTACCAACTCTGCATTGGTTGGCAAAAACATGCAGAAACTATAGCATACCATGTCCAATGCTTCAAGATGCTTCAAGTGTTCAACTCATCCATGCAGGGGGATTGGGCTTTGGCAAAAACATTCCTTGCAATGCAAATCCACACATAATTCACATGAATGATTTGGGTATGTTTCCAAAATCTTTGTACATCTTGGTACCATATACGTACGTACTTGTGCCTGCCGCCACAAAACATTCTGACATCGAAGAGAGATGAGGAGAGAGAGAGAGAGAGCCCTCCCAAAAGAACCCAGCTCCTTATGGTTGACACATGAACTGGATCACAGGTCAACCAGCCACTGAGGACCGCAGTTACTGGCAACCCAGGTAGGTTCCCTGAGGTCGATTAAGGCGGTACACAGCAGTTCCTTTTAGGAACAAGGAGTGGGGACACGGGTCGTCGGGTTGGACCCTCCTTTTTTTCGGAGTCCTGGTGGATAATCGGTCTGAGGTAACCTTCGTGAGGCTCTCAGGTGGATGTGGAGGCTCCTGTGTGGTCCTCCTGCAGTCGTTCTGTAGTCATCTTAAGGATACAAGAGCTACGTACCCATCGGATCCTGACCCGGATGAATTGCTTCCCAGTCGCAGCCACGGCAAAGAGCACTAGAGCTCTCCTTGAGAGCTGCATGATCCTCGGGATGACATGTGAGTGAGAAACATCGACAGGGATGATCGCCTCCAGCAAAACCTGTGAGAAACATGTAAGAATCATGACTCGACCATCAATTTCTTGGACAATGCATCGAACATCATCGAAACATGACTCATGATCGACTGGCACCAGCCTGGCGCCAGCGCCAGTCCTCTCGGTCTGGGGAGATGTTGGGGATCGAGACTTCGTAGACTACCAGCTTCTTCAAAATATAACCTTGTTGGAGCCCTAAGTGACCTGTTACAGGTCTAAGTAACCTCAAACCCGGGATGAAAATGTCACAGTGAAGAACCAGGTATAGAGACTAGAGTCTTCAACCAAGCTGTTCAGGATCATCCAAGCTTTTCCTTTGCACCAGGGAAGGACAGTGCCTAGCAGGGTGACCAACCTGATACCAGCTGCGATCAGGCTGCGAGCAGGCTGGCAACCCGTCTCAAGCGGCTGTTGTTGGAATTTGGCTGAAAATGTGCTGCGAGCGCTCGCACTGGCAAGGCCCTGAACCGGTGCTGCTTGCAGCTGGTCATGATTCTGTGGTAAGGTACCAGCTGAGTGTCTAGTGATGTGTATTGTAATAGGGGTAATTACCACCTGTCTTGTTTTCCTTCTTCCAGAGGTCCAACTGGGAAGTCTCCCTAATACACACTGAGCTCTCCTTCTCTAGCGACGAGGAAGAAGAGCAATCGACCGATCAGGCCGATGTGGCATCTGTTCCATACATGTCCAGTTCTGGTGTGACTGGAATAGTGAGCCTATGCTGTTCCGCAATGCTGTTCTGCATCGGCCCCTTTTACCTTTGGCTCAGCGGAAGAGCTGGTTCACCGCTCTGTCTCGGCCACTCTACATCGCTGTGACCTCAGGCAAACCGAGCAGCTGGGTTCCGCTTAGTTTTCGAATGGCGAAGGCAAATGGAATGTGTTTCTTGCCGGCGCCTTGTACAAACCCGCACTCAGTGTAGTTTCCCTTTGTAGAAACATGTAGAAACATAGGTCTCGCACTTAAAGGTTGAATGTAATGATTTCCATTGGGGAATTCGGAATGACTGGACCAGATTGACCAGTCATGTAGGCTGATGAGGTTGTACGATGAGAATCATGCAGGGTGCTCAACAAAAATCCGCAAGAATAATTGTTCCAACGACTCCATCTATGTATGGAATACAGCCACATTGACCCCTTTTCAACCACCCCTTTTTGGGGCGACAGTCCTATGCCAGTCCCATGGAGTGCTATCTTCCTGTATCTACCGACGTCGCCTGAGTGACCCTGTTTTGGAGGAACAACTATCCAAAATATCTGGTCTTCGTCCTATCAAAACAGAGGTTAGTCAGACTTCGTCCTATACACACACCTGTCTACACTCCAGTCAACGAAGCACACATGAGCCATCGCTTGAAGTCAAGGGTGAAGCTGTTCCTGGGGTCACAGCAGCCGGAAAGACAGTCAGGTGATGTCAGCAAAGAAGTGTGCTTCTCCGCTTCTCATCCCATCTCCACAAAGCAGGACCCAAAAACCATCAATCCTGATGTTGTCAGGTCCAAACAAACCATGTTCTCTTCCTGTTGATTCATCGTAGCGATGTCATCGCTGAACTCAGCTGGGAAGACTAGGACGGGCAGCGACCCAAATGACCAAAGCCGAACGTGCGCTGTACTGAGGAGGAGATCCAGAAGATACCTTTGTGCCGAGATTCGCCGAGTATATACGGGACGACTTGTACCACTTAAAGTGGGATCTTCTGGGATGTAGATGTAGAAGATACATCTGGGATCAACACGACGTGCCAAAGACCACTCTGCTCCAAGCCAAGCACACCTCTGCTCCGTCGATTTGGGTGTCCTTTTTCGCCGTGCACATCCCTGCTTCTGGAATGATCTAGACTCATCCTCGAGTGCCAAAGTCTCTTCTGAGCGAAACAGAATTCACTCTGTTTGCTGTTGCCCATGCACATTCAAGAAAGGAAATCCTATCAGAGATTCGCAGCAACATGAGTTACAATGAGTTACATCTCCTAGCTTTTCTCTGCATGGGTGATTGATTCCAGCAACCTCAGCGCATCGTATCGCATCGTGGCATCCACTTTGCAGCAATGAGAGCATCAATGGTCCGGAGCAGCAGCTTTGATCCAGCCTGACTCTTCCCCCAACATCTTCCGTTTTCAGTCGAATCCGGGGACGAACAGTATCCGGGTCATCTGCTCGAACGATCATCCAAATTCCGCTAGTCTCAAATATATACGTACCGGACCGTCCAGCTCCGAGTGGTCTTAGAAGGCGAGCTTTTCAAGCTCCCGGGCGCACTCCGAATGGCCATGCTTGCGTGCGATGGCAGATGGAAGGTGGGCTTTGTGCCAAAGGCTTTCCATGTCACTCCCCAAGGGGCACAGACTGCGGAGGGCCTTCAAGTCTTCCTCACCAAAGCTGGAAATCAAGAAGGAAGCCAGTGGCAAGTGACCTGCAACGGTTGGAAGATGTTGGAAGCTGTCGATGTATGTCGATGTATGTTCATGTGCTGAGGCCTAGTCATCCTCAGGTACTACAGTAGATGGACAAATTAATCAAACCCTAAACCACCATGGTCCATCACCACCCCCGCACCCCCGATTTCAATGTTGTCTCAGTAAAAAGATGTTTTGTTGTCAGGGGTTTGATTTGATTCGTCCACTCAAGCCAACCTCCTTCACCAACAGGCCAACATTGAACTATGGGGGGTGAGGGGGTGAATTCTGCAAGGGATTGAATAATTCGTCCACCTACGGTACTGGCTTTTGACGTGCTGGGAGAAACAAATGACACGTTCGTGTCATTTGTTTCTCCCAACACGTCTAAACCCAGTACTGTCTCAATTGTTTGGTTTTGTACACATCCCCATGCCAGAAATATTGGTTTAACATATCGCCTTCACCTTGTTCTCAAGCATCATTGCCCATTGCATCTGCTGCTTGCTGTTGAAGAGTGTGTGTCTCCTTGGTACGGTACACTTGTGTCTTTTGCGTCTGCGCTGTGTCTTTGCACACGCTGTCAAGTTTCACTAACACTTGACGTATGAAGGTCCAATCTTCTCTTCCACCCAAATCATTGCGCTTTCCAGGTCCTGACAATGTGGCGTCCAAATCGCTGTGCTTGTCCAGTTCAACTCCGGCGTCCAAATCACTGTGTTTTTCCAGTTCCTAACTCCGTTGGCGTCCAAATCACTGTGTTTTTCCAGTTCCTAACTCCCTGTCCCAGTTCCTTACCAGTTCCTTACCAATTCCTTTCCCAGTTCCTGACCCAGTTCCTAACCTCCCTCGCCTGCGTTTCTCCATGGATCGTGATGAATCTCAGAAAAGAAATGGTTTTGTAGTTTCTCTATAAACAGAGCACGAACTTCCAAAAATAGGGAAGTTGGCTTAGGAACTGGGTTAGGAACTGGGAAAGGAATTGGCAAGGAACTGGTAAGGAACTGGGACATGGAGTTAGGAACTGGAAAAACAGAGTGATTTGGACGCCGAACTGGAAAAACACAGTGATTTGGACGCCAACGGAGTTAGGAACTGGAAAAACACAGTGATTTGGACGCCAGAGTTAGGAACTGGAAAAACACAGTGATTTGGACGCCAACAGAGTTAGGAACTGGAAAAACACAGTGATTTGGACGCCGGAGTTAAGAACTGGACAAGCGCAGCGATTTGGGCGCCACATTGTGAGGACCTGGAAAGCGCAATGATTTGGGTGGAAGAGAAGATTAACCTTCATACGTCAAGTGTTAGTGTACCTTTGACAGCGTGTGCAAAGACACAGCACAGACGCAAAAGACACAAGTGTACCGTACCAAGGAGACACACACTCTTCAACAGCAAGCAGCAGATGCAATGGGCAATGATGTTTGAGAACAAGGTGAAGGCGATATGTTAAACCAATATTTCTGGCATGGGGATATGTACAAAACCAAACAATTGAGACAGTAGATGGACAAATTAATCAAACCCTAAACCACCATGGTCCATCGCCACCCCCGCACCCCCGATTTCAATGTTGTCTCAGTAAAAAGATGTTTTGTTGTCAGGGGTTTGATTTGATTCGTCCACTCAAGCCAACCTCCTTCACCAACAGGCCAACATTGAACTATGGGGGGTAAGGGGGTGAATTCTGCAAGGGTTTGAATAATTCGTCCACCTACGGTAGTACAGTGCAAAGTACAAGTTTCACATCTCCTTGTCAGTGCATCCATGCAGCACCAAAGGCACTGTAGAACTTGATAGTGTGTTTAATACACAAAGCATCAAAATCATACAAAATCGATTACCGTCATCCTTGAACCAAACCCAAAGAGCTTGCCTTTGAGGGGGCTACAGCGCCAGCCTGGCACGCCCAAGCAGTCCAAGCCGCCTACACAATCCCACAAACCAACAAGAAAGTACTATAAGAATCCGGGACCCAAAAAAGAAAGGGTTTGGTTCGAGCACAAGCTCCTGCTATGGAGGGTTCGACCAGTGCTATAGAGGGTCCAAGGATGTCCAAGGATTCTTAGGGCCAGTCACAATCAAATATATATATATATATATATATACACCAAAGACATCCAGGCACACCAAGAGTGCTCTTTGTCACCTTTTCGCCAAGTTGGAGGCCCTGCAAGCGCCTGAGCGGCTTCCAACATCATCCCTCCGCCACCCAGGCCTCTTTCCGCCGCTTTGTGCAACACCGTATGCCCGGAGCACTGTGGGCGCAGGAGCGACATGCCGTGCTCGCTCAGCCAGCGACAGGCCTCGATGCTCCCGCCCAGTCCAGCAAAGTGTCCAGCGTCACAGTCGAAGCTGTTCCGAGCCTCGGGAAAGATCGAGCAGTGGTGAATCAGACCGACATCAACTGGTGGCAGTTAGGATCAGCTAGGTTATCCCCTTGAAGACACCACATGCTTTCAAATCCAGAAACCTTCCCCCACATTGCCCAACGAGTGCATTTTCACCTGATGAACTCAGCTCATCAAGGGGCAAAGAGGTCTGCTCGACTCTGCACCAGCAGCTCGACCACATCGATGTGACCACCGAAGCACGCCAACATCATTGGGGAGGTGCCGTCAGCGGAACGGTCCTCCACACGGCCTAAGCCCACCTGGTGGGTCGGGCGTGGAGGTGAAAAAGGCGCGCCGTGACTCCAGGGGGTGTGAGGTGTTGCACAAAAAACGTTTCCTGAAGGGCCTGCATATAGTTATTTGGGGGAGGTGTGTGGTGTTGTTCAGAGTTGCTGCATAAACACAAAATCATACAAAATCAACTCTAATCAACAAAATCATCCAAAACGGCAAAACAAAAAAATTAAAGGTGGGTCAAAGGCACAAACACGTAATTACACCTTTTCTACTGGTTCCGCACCAGTCGCGCAATGAAAGGCGCCAGGCCATGTCAGGTGACTTCTGTGGCTGCCACTTCCAACTTGAAACCTTTGTGGAGTCCACCAATCGGGCCACATTACACGGCAGCCAAGTTGACCCACCAACGCTACTTGTGCACATGTCTGAACGAAACCCGGGTTGTTCAAAGCCACCCGACTTACAACGACAGATAGGAGGGTGCCTTTCTTGATGATGCAATTTTCCTGCAGTTCTCAAGAATTGATTTCCCGTATAGGTCTATCCTAGTTATGAAAAAGGGCCTTTGGGAATTGGACGAGGAAGAGTTTGAATTTGAAAAATACGAAGGATACAAATTAACACATATGATATTGAATTGTATTTGTGATTTCATAAATTTGGGATCATCAATTGAGGCAATAGCAATATTTTGTTAAATTACATAAATGTGTATCAAAAATTTGACATTAATGAAAAAAGAGGCAAAGAGACAAATATCGTGGTGGCATAGTGTTTTGTGGCAATCCCCATGCGTAATGAAATCTATGTTTTGAAATGAATATTGCATATGGCACGTAGAATGTTCCAAGGACCATAAAGCTGAAACAACCATGCAAGTGGAAGGCAGTCCCCTGGAAAACAATTTTTCTTTACAAGGGTTTCTGGTGAGCTTCCATGAGTGTTGGAAGGGGATGGAAGGGGTGTATATATTTGCAGGAAAAACCTTTTCCTCCAAACATATATATATATATATTTGCTGACGGCAAATTGAAACCCTAGCCAAAATCTAGCCAAGAGTCCTATACACGCACCTTCTGTGATTGGATGGTGACGGGTCCCGGCTGGACCCTTCCTTCTTCCTATTCACTCTTTTCGTTTCCTTTCTTTATCAACAGGAAAGAGGACCATGGTCGGATAAAATCAAGAGAAGTTCAAGCCTGCCTACTGGAAACAGGTGTTCCTCTGAGAGATGTTTTCGTGCGTAATGTGCCAAAAGCACTGTGCTTTACAGGGTTGTTGGCTGAATCATGATCAACACCTGTTTTGAGGGAACTTTGGTCATTGAACTTGTTCAGACTAGGCCTACAAAGGTTTCGAAAGAATACCAAAACAACAAAGACAAACAAAAACACTATAGTTAAGACAGTTTCTCTCTTGTCTCAAACATTGTTTTTGTGTATTTTTGTTGTGTGTGTTTTGGTATTATGTTATTGTTTTTTGTATTTTGCTCTACTTGTTCCAAAGCTTTGTCGCGCAGAAGACATTCTGGATAAGTAGTATATTTCTCTTCTCTGGCGCGGTTCATGAGTCTTCTAGGTTTGTACAACGGCTTTGCCGAGTACTGGCGTCACTGTACTTCCGACAGATTCGCTAAACACTCCACTTTTAGGTTCAAATTTTGGACGCTCTCACACATGGCAGCTATCACTTCATCGCCTTCATGGTCTTCAAGACTCGCGCGCTTCGTTTCCTTGCGAGAAATCTTGCGAGCAAGCTTCCTCCACTTGAACTGATTCCAGCACCGTGTCTTTCTGGCAAGGATCAGGTCATATGAGGTCATTGTGCCAGAGAGCGCATGTGATTCAAGACATTGGCATAGCCACTGAACCATGAGAAGGTTTGCTCTGTCACTGAGGTATTGATATAGTCCACTCCTTGGTTGAGGCTCTTCTGGGTCAATGGGCTGCAAGGACATGTGCCTTTGTGGCGGTACGCATGGAACGTGCCCAACGGGAAGCATTTGATTTGCGAAAGGTCTGGGTCGTTGATAGCGGAGGGCTTGTAGTGGCAGCAGCGATCGAATATGAGGAGGTCGACCTTGGGGTAAAGTGGAAGGACCTTTTGGGACAGACTCGGATACCATTTCGTTGCCACGCCGATGCCAAAATATACCTGAACTCTTGGGCTCAGCATTGGCGTCGAAGTCGTTTACATTGCGAACTTTGCGGCTCCCCACCTTTCTTTCTGGTCATGGCTTCATCCAAGCCAACATCAAAGGCCTTCAGCTTCTTGATGACTTAATCTTGGAAGGTTCCATCATGGTCAGACGACCCACTTGGCCTCGGAAAAAATCAAGTTTGCTAGCTGTCCGGAACCCTGGTTCGTCTTTCGGCTGCACTTGACCCAATACCTGGAGAAGGCCGTGCAAATAATGCGGGCCAGGTGTCTTACCAAAACCAGCTGTGTCATGAAACCCAAGAGACTTCTCCCTGCAAAAGAATGGGAATGAGTTCGAGGGCACAGATGAGCAAGTACACCGTCATTTGCGAGATTCCTGAGGGACTTTTCCACATTCTGGCCACCTGTAGATGGGGCTCTTGCGGTGGCTTAGCTGCCTGGTGATCCATCGTGGCTGTGTGTTCTTTACATTCTCCCTACCACGAGGCCCGCTACCAGTTGTACCAAGTTAGGTGTACTTGTACATAATAAGTTAACCGAACTTAGGGGACGTGGGCGTTAAAACAAGTTACTATAGATATAAGTTCGGTAACTTTGTCTAACTTGTTTGGGCGCGAAAACCACAAAGAATTTCGCTTTTCCTGCATGTGTTCACAGCAGTGGCAGGGCCGCTCGTCGTCCACGCCCTTCATTTTCATGCACCGCAGCACAACAGTTCTGGTAGGGGTCTCATGCCTCCACCAAGATGGCCGACCCCGCAGGCGGTGGCGCTGGAGTGGCTGTAACAGCTGGCGCTGGTGTGGCTCCTGCCCCTGGTCCATCATCCGAGTAGCTCGCCCTGCTGCGCCTCCAGGATTCATCGAACCAAACCCAATCACCTTCTTCGTCGTGCTGCTCCTCTTTGGCTGCATTGTTTCCGGATCCTGTGATGCCGGATCCCACAGCAGATGGGGTACACAGATCTGGCATGTGTGTGGAGGATGGAGAGAAAACATTCTTGGTCTCGTTTCTAGTTGTGTTGGTGACGCTTCTGGCTGCCACTTTGTTTATCACTGACTCGCCCTGGCCCCAACTGCCACCGTAGTTGGCGGTCCATGTGCCACCTGTGCCCCAGCGGCTGCGATCTTCACGGCCATCCGTCAGGCGGGGTCACTGCGCCAGCCCACCCCGACCAGGCCCATCACCAGGACCATGGCCTGAGCTGCCGTAATCATACCCGCTGCCGTAGTCGTGCCTTGATGTGTACTGCCGCCCCACATATAGTAGCTGAGCTGCTGGCATGCCCCCAACCGGAAACCATCATGCCCACCGCAGCCAGCTGCCCCAACCGCCAACATGCCCCATGGCCATCGCCAACGTCTCCAGCAGCAGGTCGAACAGCTGATTTGGCCCTGCCCTGCCGCGTCACACCCGTCGCCAACCCATCGCAAGTTGAAGGACAGTGCTAGTGAGCGCAACGTGGGGGGGGCGCAGTCAGTCACAGGGAGCTCCAAATTGGAAAAAACAAGTGTTTGCACTCCAAGACACCTTTGGTTCTTCAGTCAGGGTAGTACTCAAGCAGGTAGGCTGGGCGACATCCCCCACCCCACCTCAGTCTGACTGATCAAGCTGGTAGGTGACGCTAGGTAAGGCGGACTGCCTGCAAAAACGTTGGCTCTTTCTCTATGGGCCGCTGCAAAACAGAACATAGGACTCACATTAAGACAATCGCAGTTCCGAAGTTTGGGCCCTTTTGTCATGATTGGGTTAGGCCGAGGACTTTGCAAACGACACCTTGCAGCCAAGACCGCCCAAGGCCCAATCAAGGAATGCAACCACAAAGGTCCTTGCAGGTTCTTGTGGGTCCTTGACAAGCCAAAGATAGAATATGGTTCACCAACTACGACTGATCACCGTCATTTGTTGCGCCGCCTCTTCCTCTAGGCTGTGCTCAAAATATAGATGTGTGTTTAAACCTTTAGGCTGTGTTTCTTTAAACTAAAGATTTTCACAGCGTGCGTGACGATAATTCCTGACATAGGTACTTGAAGACTGTAGGGCGTAAACACTAAAGCGCCCGGGGCACTTGGTGCTGGCAGTAAGTGTGGCGGGCAACACTCACTGGTGACGGGCAAAGCAATGATATGACAGGCATAACGCCCAGCAAAATCGGTAAAATAACAACATAAATCGGTAAAATTGCAAAATCATTCCTTTTCATAAGCGAGACCATATGCGGAAAAAGCCATACAGTCTTGGAACAAAACGGTATATCCTCGCTGCCTGCAGGGGCACTTGACTGAGCACTATCCATGAACGAAGCATACGCTGCAAAACGGAAAATGGAGCCACAACTTTCATTTTGGCCTAGCCGCACATGAGTTCTGCCGCAGCGTCCGCACAGGCCAAGCTGATTCTGAACTTTCAGCTGATTCCAAAACCAGATTCTTTTGGTGGTTTCCTTTATAATTCTTTTAGATGTCCTTTTGGTTGAAAAGTGTGAGCTTTATTGAAGGCAATCCTTTCTGGATTTCTGATTTGGCTGCTGCATTTTCCTTTTAAACTTGTTTATTTGGGCATTGCCATTTGGAACCTGAAATCAACCCCCAAAGACCATCCCCCACAAGCAGCCCAAACCTTCAATTACTCCAGACCTCAAAAAATACTAAACAATCCCTGGCTGGTTCTTTTGGTGGTTTCCTTTACAATTCCTTTAGATGTCCTTTTGGCTGAAAGGCTTTAGTTTTGTTGAGGGCTATGGTCATTTAGGTCCAGCCCCTTTACAATTCCTTCAGCACTACTTACATTGATTGCGTTCATTTCCTTTCCTTTCATTGTCCTTTCAATTTCCTTTCCTTACCTTTCAAACATTTCTAGACATGTCAGTCATTTCAAAGAAATTCAAGAGTTACCGACTGGAAGGGTTCGGCGGGTTCCCAGCAGCTTCCGCGGGTGCTCTTTTTAAGTACAAGGCTGGATACTGTTTGATTTTTTTTTTGTAAGGTACTTATGTATGTTGTGTTTGTACGTATGTTTAAATTGTACTCTATTATTGTCAGATGCTGTTATTTGTATTTGTAATTATGATGTTCCTTCATTTGTGTATTCTACTTTGTCATCATCATAATGTTTTGCTACATTTGCACTTTAATCCTTTTAATTTTCACTTTCATCATGTTCAATTCCAATGTTTTGCATGTTCACTTGTTTGTTTTGATATTGTGTTAACAAACATGTGTTCCTTACTTTGTTTACTTGCTGTATCTACGTCATTACCATGTGATCTATGTTTGTTTCATTGTTATATTTTTACTAAATGCTTAGTTTGTATGTTTTATACAATAACTATTATTGTTTATATGTTCTTATCGTTTCAATTTTCAGCATGTTTCTTTCAATTTCATCACGGAGGTTTCATCGCATATGTAGAACATGCATACGTGCTGTATCTTAAGATGTGGCTTTGACGCGAACCTAAAACTTGCGTTTTGGTGGCTCCCAGGATGCAAACTCTTTCAGCTCTCAACTTTGAGTACTCCTGATGTACCTATGTTCCTTTCCTTTAATCTCCTTTCCTTTCCTTTCATGTCCAATTCAAATCAATATGTTTTAGGACTTTTGTTGCTTTCACATTATTTAGGGCCCGCACTTGATCAAGGGGGAGGGGGCGGTTTACTATTTAGAGGTGGACATTATATGTATACAAAAATATATACAAATATACATTTGCATTACGGACATGTATATATTTGCAGGGCTTTGGGCTGTGAACCACCTCATCGCCAACCGGGACCGCCTCCAGCAAGAAGCGACACATCTCCAAGCGCCCAAAGCGTGCAGCCCAGTGGAGGGGTGACCGGCCGTCGCGGCGGCAGACCTGCACGTTGGAGGCCAAGGGCAACAGCAGCTTCACGCAATCCTCGGAAACGTGCGACAGCATCTAGATTCCAGGTGAGTTGTGAAGGAACCAGTTGACAGGTCAAGCTCTGCTGGTTTACTCTCCCGATCTTCCAGTGGAAGTGGAGTAGAAATTCCCAGTTTGGCATTCGGAGTTCGGAGCCTCCAAACTCCGTTCTAGGGAGCCATGCGACCCTCTTCCCGGCCTCGCAGGCAGTCTGAGACCTTGATCCAAAGCCGGTTCAGCTACCGTGCCACATGGGGACCGATGTCAAGTGTAGCTGAGGACTCGGACCGATGCATGGACCAATGCATGTTCTGTGTCATGTTGCGTCGATGTTCTACGTTCAGTTGTGGTGTTTGCAGCATGCGTCATGGGGCGGTATGGATACAGAGTGTGACCAGGTATGAGACATGCGGAAGGAGCCAAAAGGAAGTAGAACAGGCGGGGAATGTCTGGACAGAAGGATGAGACACTTTGAACGCCCACTTGGCTGAAGCCAATAGAAAAGAACAGGTCCCCCTGTGTGGGTGGTGATTGGATAGTCAACACATGCAAGGAGGGTCTATCAATCACCCAAACCTGGAAGGTTCCTTTGAAACCTGCTTCAGACCAGTTCTTCGATGACCCTTCCAAGTCTCCAGGTGACCTCCTCCGGCTGCCCAATCCAATGCACTGGAGCCGTTATGATCCTGCTGGCCTACAGCAAATGGATGCCATCCTGCAAGCAGCTGTGCTTCCAATGCAGCCGCATCTCCTGCAGTTATTCGGCTTTTTGCACCGGCAAAAAAGCTCAACCGAGAGTTTCGCCAACTTGACCGGTTTGGTCAGTGAATCCTATTTGTTCAAGAACAGGAGAGGCGGAGAGGCGCTTTGCTCTTGTCGGGTGGTCAAACAAACCCAAGAAATTCGGACCATCCCGCCGTGTCCAAAGTGGAAAGCTGCCAGGCAACGGCGATGCCAAAGATTCTCAGTGTCCAGTCTGAGTTTGTGCTCGAGAAAACCACCAGAATCGGGGGAATCTGGAATGAACGATCATGAAGACGCGACCCACCACGGTGTAATCTAAGTTTCAGCTGCAACTCTTCACAAACATGGTGGGAAAGCCACCAACTAAACATGTATCTGTATCTACCGCATGATGAAGTAATCTTGTATAAATAAACAGCACACATTCTTTCGAGCCACCCCAACTATAATTACATTCTTTCGAGCCACCCCAACTATAGTTAATTAATTAAATTACTATAGTTAAAATATGTTTATAGATTCATGTGAAACCATGGGTTGTTCAAACGGTTGAAACAAGTCTCGGACCTCATTCCCATCTGCAACATAGAACAACGCATTAACAATGATACAACAACTCTTTAGGTACCTCCATCTCCCCTTCTCCCCCTCCCCTTCAGGCTCCATCTCGCGCTGCAATCAGCCCGGTCGGCAGAACATGGTGCTTTGCTCCAGCGGCGCGACCGGGCGTTTCGCGTGTGGGACCGCTGGGACCTCGAACGCCGCCTCCTGCAGGAGGAGCGCCCTTTTGGTGAGGCATGTCTTTGAGGCATGTCTTTGATGTGAAGCGGTTCTGATCTGCAAAATGGTGCATGAAGTGCTAGAATCCCTTACCCCAAAATAGTGTCGACGTACGATTCATCAAACCCCCCTTCAAGGTCAGCAAGGTTTGAGAGACCAAATCCCCCTAATAAAGGTGATGACCTGACGATGGATGATGAGGTGATGACCTGGACCTGATGGGATTCTGTGTGAACCATGAGAGTTTGAACCGTGATGTCAATGTGGAAATTCAGGTTTTAAATTCGTTTTGTATTGGGGGCTCGAGCTGGGCTTGATTCATGCTGGGAGGCTGGGAGGTTACAGAAAACCTATGTCAACCTTACGACTAGCTTCAGCTTTGGGAGGTCCTGGCCCAAGGTCTCCGACCGCACGGATGTGTGGGGATCTCCGGTTGGGATGTGGGGAAAACCCCCACGTCCACGGCGGACACTGCATGTCGCCTCTGGTGGGAAAGATGCCCTGAGAGTCCGCCAGTGTAGCGACTGCAGCAGCCCAGGTCTCAAAGTCGCGGTCTGCCTGGTCTGCTTAGCTTGTCCCGACCGACGATAGACCGAGACGGCCGACACAACAGATGCCAAGTCATGCATGGTCACATGACCTGTGTTTTACGGAGTTGAGGAGTTGCAGAAGAAGACCAAGACACTCTATGTCACTCTAAACACTGTTATCATCACTACTCAGACTATTCAATTGAAATGTGTACCTCTCGGATAGGGTCACCCAGTTGCTTGCGCAGAAGTTGAAAGGAACCTCTTCCATCAAACCGTATAGAACATTATAAAACCATCCAACAACAAAATCCACCTACATGTCTGGCCTCGTCTGCATGCAGCGAGGCCAGGTGCTGCTTGAAGCCACTTCCGCGGTTGAAGCAACGCCCTGAAGACGGACATAAGGGACATCGCACCCATCCAGCACACGCAGCCAAGCCTTTCCTCCGGCCATGCTGGCCGTTGGGCGGTGAGGACAGCGGCATGACAGTTTGGCCTGGCGGCTGAGCTGTCACATCCCCAAAAACAGATTGATCCCTATAATTGTAATTCCCATCCTCCGTGCTTGACCATCGGGATCACTTGGCCTTTTTTCGGACCAATTTCCCGTCTAAGAATCCAGACCCTTCATTCCAGTCAAATCCTCAATGTGGACAAAGCTTGCCCATGGAAGGTGGTGGATCCAAACCACCTTCAAAAGAGCTTGCTTCGGCGGGTCCAGCCCACCATGGAGGCTCCGTCCGATGTGCGAAACTGCTCTACCCAGGTGCAAAGGGTACCTGTGAGGGGTCGAAACATTGAAGGTCCAACATGACAGTCTTCTAGCAAATACATCTTGCCTTGGCCAACGGTCAAATCTTCCCCTGTCCATTCAAAAGCTATTTCACCAACGCCTGGGAGATTCTCCGGAACCCAGGCAGTGATCACAGTCTTTAGCCAGCGTTGGATGTGCTCTCGCCATTGCATCTCCACCAGCACCCCCAAAGGCTGCCCACATCGAAGCTTCGGGATCGCGGAGTCCGACGTGGAGGCATAGACCGCAGCCTCGAAGGTCACGATGGTGGGTGGTGTTCCGTCCTCGCCTTGAAGGTGGACGAAGGAAAGGCCTCACGGTCACGGAAGCTCCAAGATCCACGGAAGGTCCGACACGACATGTCAGTTGTGCAGAAAACACACACCGTTCTTGGGCGAATGAATGGCTCATCGCACTGTTTTTAGTCGCACGGATCGCCAAATCTGTTGGATCCAGTGGTTCGCATGGTTCATCAAACACCAAAATCAAGGAAGGCGTTTCGTCACTGGGCACCAAGTCGTGTAGGCAACCGCTGAACCCAAGAGAACTTGCAGCTGATTGCATCGGATGACTCTGGACCCTAAGATCAAACCAGCCGTCGGAACGAACTTCTGCTAGATGGCAGGTGCAGACCCCTAAAGAGCCAAATTCTTGGAAGGTACTTGGACCCTCCAAGCCTCCATAAAAAATATGTCTCCAATTAGTGACCCTGTCATGGGCTATGTGGATCCATATATAGGGATGGCATGAAATGATGGGGCCGACATCAGGTGGATCTGACGGGAGAGTCTAACTGGACGTGCTTCCTTGGTGCACAGGGTCAAAACAACTGGCTTTCGCATCTGTAAGTATCACATGAGGTGTGGAGACCCCCAATTAGACCATATTGGACGCCCTGGAAAAAGTAACATGACCACAACCCGTTGGTGGTGGGTTTCCCTAGTCACATACAAACCCACTTAGTCGACGACCAAATCCATCTTCATGACCAAGACTATGCAAGGACGATGCCACACCACACGAATCGAATGCCACAGTCGGCCTGCACATATGAACATGACATACTTCGATTGGTACGAATTCAATGATTCAAACCTCGTCCATCCAAGTCTGCAGAATCGATTCCGTCCGGCCCTGGCATGCTCGACCCGACCGCTTGACCCCGACCGATGGCATCGGAGAACGTTCGTTGTGTTTCGCCTTTGCCCAAGCGATGGACGCGCACGATGGTGCCCAGCAGTTCTTGCCGATGCCCTTCTTGCAAGGACGTCGTCGTCCATTCGATCGCGCTGTCGGCACGGAGAGGTTCCATGAAGGAGACTGGCTCATCCAATCTCAAATCATTACCTACCCCAAACACAACCGATGGAACTGGCATATTCACCAATATTTGGGTGGCCGGGACGGCCGGGATACTTGCTACCTAGACTCACACAGTCAGCACAAGCTGCAAGCCGATCAACTTGGTCTCAAGAAGTGTCTGAATTCTGGGTTTCTCAGAACTTGGCTCGACTCGGTTCCAGGGACTGAATCGACATGTAGGAGATACAAGTTCGCCGATCTTCTCATGTCTGACTCCGGCGACAAAGGAACGCATCCAATTTGAGCCCACGCTTCTGAGGCGCCGGAAGGATTTCAAGATATCCACAGAGTCTATGCCAAGGCACCAAAGTCAAGAATGCCCTGGCAAATGGATTTGGCTGTTGGTGCCCCCTGTTTGGTGTTTTAAGAATCTGTTTAAATCACGTTGGTCAGTCACTCTGTGCAGATCCACCAGCAAACTAAGGTGAGTTTTTTCCATGCAACGGCACATCCTCCCAAGAACCCTCCAAACTACCAGTAGCATCCTTGCTTCTAGTAACATGGCATCGCTGCTACAAGTAGTATATAACAAGGGCATTACTACTATAAGTAGCAAGAAGCTACTACCTGGCATCGCTACTAGGAACAAGGACGCTACGAACGTAACAAAAACAAAATATATTCGGGTCCAATTGGGTCGAGAACATCTTAATCTGGAGCTTTGGGTCGCTAGTATGGTCCATCCAATCAACATCCTAGTGCACTCCCTAAAGATGGTAGTTCTCATACGCATGTTAACCATTATGGACTATTTGCCGTTCAAGACCACCAGTTTTCTCGGCCCAATGCACAGTATTTCGGTATGAACAGAAACGTAAATTTAATTGTTGATCAACAAAATCCACCTATTTGGATTGTAATATGATTATTTCTCATGGGGGGGGTTATTCGTCAACAGTCTACATTACCTCGACACCAGTTTTTGAGCCTCCATCGAATCAATATGCGTCCCAAGCTGCGTCCGCTCGCGAGGCCCCACAGTCTCTGCTCCGGCTCCATGTGTTGGCTGCGAAATGGCTGGAGTGTTTCAAGCGCCTATTATATGGGGGGGGGGGTCTACTGGGGAGTCCTCCTTATTTCACCACCTCTTGGCTGCTTTCATCTGTTTTCGGTCCTCACATGTCCTGGTAGGCCTTGGATCCGGCCTCCGTCTTGGGGTCGACCTCGGGCCACATTTCACAAACCCTATTAATATTGGTTCGGGTGCGGATCCTTTCATTCACCATGTCAAGGCTTCAAGGTCCAGGCCACGTACCTTCTCTACATTTCTGGGCCTACCTCTTAGTGGAGTCAGGCAAAGTGCCGGGCCATGGCCAGGCGGCGGAGGTCATGTTGTTGTACTTTTCTTGTCCCTGGATGTTCACATCATTTTGGCGTGATGGCATGTCCATCAGGCAGCTTCAAAATCATCGCATCACCTCACTTCGAGGCATTTCGAGGGCAGTTTTTTCGAGCCGAAAGTCGAGGCATTTCGGTCGACCATGTGCTTCGACCATTTTTTCCGGTGGTGTGATGCCTCCGAGGTCCTCGAGAAACTCTACCCTAGAAGTCCAGTTTGACTAGCTTTGGGGACCACCAACTTTTCCAAGAACTGCTTAAAAATGGGTCACCAAGTCATCAAGCCATCTAAAAATCGTCACCAGGCCTGCCAGGGTCTATGAAGCTCTATGTACACGCCGAAACGAGCGACGCCTCCAGGCCACCCATCTTGGGTGCTCTGGCGCGTTTGCTGCTCGCGGCTCTGGCGCTCGGGCGCTCGGTGCCCGACTTGAAAAACGGCGACCGCCAGGAGAGACCCGTTGACTTGAGGTGTGTTCTGGGGATTATGGGAGGGGTTGTGGGGGGATAGGATGTACACCCATTGAAGTCATGTTACCACGAAACTAGGAAGCCCTATACTCTCTTCATCTCCAGAAGTCTCATACCCCTTGCAAAACATTGAAAAACATATTGAATTGGTGCATGTTCGAAAAAGAAAACGAACTGACACAGGTTCAGATTCCATACACGCCCAGTTTCGACACCTGCACTGGTCCATGGGACTGGTTATCTTGACCAATCAGGTTGGGGTAGGACCGATTTCAACGGTCAAACAGAGGTTACAGTCCCATTTTCGGATCATGGAGCATGTTACAGTCCCATTTTCGGATCATGGAGCATGTTACAGTCCCATTTTCGGATCATGGAGCATCTGGGGGTCGGGTGAGTTTGGGGGGGGCCTCCACATCGGATCTGGAAAGCCCTGTTGCTAGGCCTTTGCGCGGTTCCGTCGGGTCAGCTGCACGGCGGAGTGAGGACGAGCAAGACGCGGCTGCGCTCGCTGCTCCTGGCCAAGTGAGTCACACACAAAGTGCTCTCTATGGGGACAAGGTGGCTTGCATGTAGTAGAACTGAGGGTCGGTCATTCCTATCAATTCCAATTCAAAGGAGCGGCTTTTAGTTTTATGCAATGGATGTTCTGGGCACCCCTACCCTCCAAAAAGCACAACGTTTGGAACTTGGAACTTCTGGTGTGTGTGTATATATAATTATAGAATATATATATATATTTACAGTATATTACAACGTATGAAAGTTTTTTTAGTATTTCTATACAAAGTATGTATACACATATTTACAGGACGTGGAATTACATGCAATGCTGCCCTAGTACCTGGGATTTCTCAGTTGGTGCCTGGGATTCTCGGTGATGGGATCATGATTTTCTGTCATACCAAGATACAAAGATGGGTATCATACCTTCGGTCAACTTCTATGAGGTGGCATGGGATCACATTATAGGCGATACTGGTAGGATAGAAATGAGCCCCAAAAATTCCAACATGGACACCATCTTTGATGATTTTGATGGTGGCTGTCAATGTTGACGCATCGATTTTTAGGGTGATTCGCCGGCAAATTGATGTTCAGTGATGGGTTTTCAGAGGAATCCCGGTCCAAAAGAAGCGGACGTCACGGTTTGTCGCACGACGAAAGACAATCGCTCTGTGTCCAACCCGGCCGACTATGACCCCACCTGCGGTGGTGAGAGACGTCCCTTTGACGGAGCACGCGTGCTTGGCGACAGCTCCTGGACGATGGAAGGGCGAACTAACCCACTAGGATCCCATGCAGCCTTGGGGTTGCAGGATCCTGAGCCGGAGGGAGAACTGATGGAGAGAATCTGTTGGTTTGCATGATTCTGCATCTGTGCATCTGCATCTGTACAAATGGCCTCGCAATTGACGGTTACCACTGGGACACATCCGGCCTCCCAATGTCTCTCTCGTACCCGAAGCCGGTCGCCCGGTTTCACGGGGTTCTCTCTCAGAAAGGGGGGGAAGTACGGTGGGACGCATGGAAAACCCAAGGTTCAATGACGGTACCGGCACGACCTTAAAATATGTTCAAAATCCTGAAGCCAAGACATTCCACAAACCTTCTCAGAAGGTACGACTGGACCCTGCTTGTGCCTACATAAAAGTGTCTCCCTCCTCACCCTCCAGAGGGTAACCGGGTATGTGGATCCATTTCGGGCTAAATACTGGGTCAGCTTTCATGACTCGAGGCTACCCGCTACTGTACCTCGGAGAACGAGTTCGTTCAGCGCAAACGAGGAAAATACACAGGGGTCTATAAACCAACCTTTGGGGTGCTGGCTATGATATGGTCTACACAATTATATGTCTATTATATGTACTGTCTAGCTGACAGTCCTTCTTCTGTAGCTCTTCGAGCTTCTTGGCCGCCCAGGTTTTCAATTCCATCGGCAATGACTTCTTGGCGCGCTGAAAACCTGGGCCGCCCCCAGGGAAGTCCGGCGAAGCCCGAATTGAGATGACCCGCGCGCCGAAAGCACATGCGGTGAACGGGGAGATAGGGTATCTCCCGGTGGGGTACTGACGAGTCGGTTGGGTACTGACTGTCCAAGTGCATGCTGCATGGTCTTTGATTGATCAAGTAAGATCGGAAGGAAAGGCAAGGCACGGCAAGGGAAGGAAAGTCAAAGGAAAGACAAGGGAAGCAAAGGTAAGGGAAGGGAGCGAAGGGTCGGAAACAAATCCGCTGGGATGGACATGGAGTGTCTGGGATCAAACGTTCCACCATGGATCATCCACGAAACACACGCACGAAGAACGAGGTTTTGAAGGGCGTTTTCAGGCCTCCAGTCACATCGGATCTTCCCACAGTCACATCGGATCAACCCCCCAAGCGTCGCAGTAGACTCTGACAACTCTAGTACCTACCTACACCTGAGTACACATACACATAGAACTCATAGAACACAAGTAGGACAACAACATATATGTGGACCCAAATTGCACCAAACACTTGCTCCGCCCCCCTTGCTTCTCGGATTTGACGCTCGTATCTCTTGAGCCATGGCCACATGGGGTCTCCAACTCCTCCTCTGAGTCTGGCCATGCCGTTTTCCAACTCACCAAAGAGGTCATTAGGGCACTTCGCAGACAGTCGGCTTGCCGCTGCGATGCTGCACTCAAGGTATGTCCTGCACCCGGTGTTTCCGGAGACACTCAAACTGGACCTAGAGCCCGTTGCGCCTACGACTTTTGCAGGTGCGAGCACTGACCCGTTGTGAGCTTCAAGGGAATGTCTTTAAAACAAACATTCCCCACCAATCCTTGGATCCAACATCTTCGCATGCGTCGAACCCTCAAGTCGAACAGGGCCCCGACCCAAACCCTACAGTATGTGCCGGCTTCTCATGCGTTCTCGAAACACGACAGCCACACGAAAATAGGAGCCCGTCAGACGAGGCACCAAGACGAGGAGCCCGTCAGAGGAGTGAAGCAATGCCACAAATAGGTCACGGCTGTCCGTGCTCAAAAAATGGTGGATGCTGTGATGTGTTGAAACCGTTTCGTGGAAGCCCCCGATTTTTGGCTGTCAAATCAACAGGTACTTCTCCATCAGATAAGTTACTGCATAAAGACCAAGAAAGACTGGCATCGCTACTAGGAACAAGAAGCTACTAGGCTCCTGGCCTTACTACTAGGAGC